TTCAATTACGAAATTTGATGACTAGTTGAAGGGTATCTGTCAAGGAACAATAGATGTTCTCGCCCGACAAAAAAACTTGTAGGCCTCCGAATCCAGTTGACGGCATCTTTGAAGTTTGGTGGCACTTAAGAAAATTTTGGTTGGTCAACAAAATCGTTCGCATTGAAAATGGTTCCGCATTGACAGAGTTTTTGGAAAACAAAAAAATTTCGCGCAGTGCGAACAGGCCCTAAGGCGATAAACGTGATTTGAAATATCAATTATTTTTTTGGAAGAAAAGCGTCTGAAACGCGCGCGGCACTAATGCTGCGAGCGAGTCACAAAGTAGACTGTTTAATTAATTAAAAATGACGATTTATTTGATTCCCAAAATACAATGACGAAAGATCTTCAATAGACAACCCACGCAAAGTTATGAGCATTTGAGAACAATCAGGTTTCGACTCCAAATAAAGTTTGTTGACACACAAGAGATCGAGATCAGAGTGACACATGAAGATCAAAATTTTAGCCAGTTTTCATATATCACATACATTTGATCATCAAATTAACAAGTGATAAATCACGAACCGCTGCTGCCAAATTAAAGGCACCGCTAGTTCCTTCACTCTTCGATACTCTAGTTTGTTCCTCCACAAGCTCGAAGGGTGCTATATTTGAAATTCCATCGCAGCGTTACTCAACAAACTTACTGGACCGTCATAAGTAAACAAGTCTAAAGAAATTCAAATTAGAACTTTGTGAATCCCTTCTGCGCTTTCTGAATGTACGATTAGTAAATACAACGTTTCATCGACGGCAAGTTGTCCTAATTTGAGGTCTTCGCCTCGAAAAGGCCACACGCTTAGAATGATAATGTAAATTCTAGGAGACCATAATTGTCACCAACTTGAAGCTAAGTAAGGGAGTGCGGTTCATATACTCTTGAGCTAAGTTATTTTATTAAATGTAAAAAAAAGGTGAGTGTCGTGTATTCAAGCTTTAGGGAATTCAATTGATTAACTGAAACCAACTCAACAGAATTTATGACGGTGTAAATTGACTACCGCAAGAGTGTTAGCCCTTCGTCACTCACTCTGAAACCCTGAATAATCTTGTTACACTCCTCCACCGACGCACCTTGTGACAGTTGACATTGGCGTATACATCTTTTGTTTCCGGATCAAACGAAACGAAACGACGAATGGGTTAGAGCGATACCGGATAATGTTGCAGTGAGAAACGGTGAGAACAGTGAAAAATTTCTCCTTATTATGATTAACTGATGTTTTTTTTTTTTTAATTTGTCGAAAGAGAGAGCGAAGAGAGAGCAAAAGAAAGTTAACTAAGACTGTTCCAAAATGATGGACGATCCAATTAAGAAATATCCTAAACGGTCGAATTCTTGTTATTCTGGTATTTTGATACACATTGTGATTCACTATA